AACATTGATCTTCGAAATTTTAAATGCAATATCAATCGCTAACTTATGTCTTCTTAAGTTCTGTTCTTTTATTAATCTTTCTCCTTAATAGTGATTTTTTTTCATTTTCCCTAATGCTCAGTAACCCCTTCCGTCTTAATTGCTTTATCGCCTCGCTTGGAATGAAATGATTAAAACAAATAAAAGAAAACATTAATATTTATAACTTTTCATAAGAAATACTTACTTTGCATTAACAGACACTTAATGTAAAAAGAATTCTACTTATATTTTATAGATTATGCAGAAGCGTTTGATAAAGTACATCACAAAGAAATGTTGTTGGAACTGAGTCTAGTTTCACAACAAGATCTCATCATGAACAGTAATGAAAAAAAAGGCTACGACAAAGGTGGTCAAGCTTGACAGCAGCAGCTGGTAGCAGCAGGCAGACAATAAAAATAAGTATGAATATAAATTATGAAAATAAAAAATTATGGGAGAAATAAAAAAATGTATGGATCATGGAGTGCTGTGGCCGTGTTCATTCTTATTGTAACACTTGGGGTGGACGAAAAAATCCTTGCAAAAAGAATGAAATTGGAATTCAAGCAATTCGACAGGATTACCAAAAAAAACTAAGGTGATTTAATTTTAATCATTTGGGACATATTTACTTTTATCATTTTAATAAAATTACAAGTAGAAAATATAATTTTAGTGAGATATTTATCTTCTCTTTTTTATGATGTTTCCTTTTATGATGTTAATACAAGTAGAAAATATAGTTTTATGACATATTTACTTTATATCGTTTGTATGATATTTATTTTCATTATGTTACCACAAGATTAAAGTACAGCTTTCGGGAGATATTTTCACCATTTTTGCTTTATTTACATTTATCTTGTGATTACAAGTAGAAAATACAGTTTTTGTGATATATTTACTTTTTATCATTTTTGTGATATTTATATGTATCATGTTAATACAAATAGAAAATACAGATTTTGAGAGATATTTCTTATCATTTTTGTGACATTTATTTAAACATCCTAATTCAAGTAGAAAATAAAAATTTTGTGACATATATATTTTTTATCATTATTGTGATATTTCATTGTATCATGCAAATAAAAGTAGAAAATACAGTTTTCGTGACATATTTAATTTTCATGGTTTTTCAGACATTTACTTGTATCATGTCAATACAAATAGAAAATACAATTTTTTTTTAGATATTTTTTATCATTTCTGTGACATTTTGATTTAATATGCTGATACAAGTATAAAATACAGTTTTTGTGACATGTTTACTTTTATCATTTTTGTGACATTTACTTGTATCATGCTAATACAAGTAGAACCTAAGGTTTTGTGAGATATTTACTTTTTATCATATTTGTCACATTTAATTGTACCATGTTAATACAAGTAGAAAATACATTTTTTGTGATGTAATTACTTTTTTATAGTTTTGCGTCATTTACTCGTATCACGTCAATACAAGTAAAAAATACACATTATTGCATATTTACTTATCATTTTGTGACATTTACTTTCATCATACATTTGAACTAGTTTATCTACAACACTTGTATATCGTAATAATGGGGCCTCACATCAGTGAGGGGGGGGCCGGTGTGCAACTGAAACCGTTGAGAGGAAGGCCCCGAAACGGTGCACATTCTCTCCTGATGACCCCAGTTTAAATATAAATTCGGGAGGAACCCATCAAAATACAGTGAAGTCATATGCCGTAGAGAAGCTCGGTGGAAGTGTCATTGGCATGAGGAGCATTACACATTCAGCTCGCTTCAGGTGAGTTTCAATTATTTTCCAGTAATTTCCTTCTTCTACGTAGAAAATACAGTTTTTGTGGCATATCTACATTTTATCATTTTTGTGCCATTTAAATTGTATCTTGTTAATACATGTGGAAATACCATTTATGTGACATATTTATTTTTATCATTTATGTAATATTAACTTGTATCATGTTAATCACAAGAAGAAAAAACAATTTTTGAGACATATTTACTTTCTATCATTCTGTGACATTAACAATTATCATGTTAATACATAGATACAATAGAATACATGATACAATACATAGATACAATAGAATACATGATACAATACATAGATACAATAGAATACATAATACAATACATAGATACAATAGAATACATGATACAATACATAGATACAATAGAATACATAATACAATACATAGATACAATAGAATACATAATACAATACATAGATACAATAGAATACATAATACAATACATAGATACAATAGAATACATTATACATTACATAGATACAGTAGAATATATAATACAATACATAGAAGCAATAGAATACATAATACAATACATAGATTCAATAGAATACATGATACAATACATAGATACAATAGAATATATAATACAATACATAGATACAATAGAATACATGATACAAATACATAGATACAATAGAATACATGATACAATACATAGATACAATAGAATATATAATACAATACATAGATACAATAGAATACATGATACAATACATAGATACAATAGAATACATAATACAATACATAGATACAATAGAATACATGATACAATACATAGATACAATAGAATACATTATACATTACATAGATACAGTAGAATACATGATACAATATATAGATACAATAGAATACATGATACAATACATAAATGCAATAGAATACATGATACAAAACATAGATACAGTAGAATACATGATACAATACATAGATACAGTAGAATACATGATACAATACATAGATACAATAGAATACATGATACAATACATAGATACAGTAGAATACATGATACAATACATAGATACAATAGAATACATAATACAATACATAATTCAATAGAATACATGATACAATACATAGATTCATTAGAATACCTAATACAATACATAGATACAATAGAATACATAATACAATACATAGATTAAATAGAATACATGATACAATACATAGATATAATAGAATACATGATACAATACATAGATACGATAGAATACATAATACAATACATAGATTCGATAGAATACATGATACAATACATAGATACAATAGAATACATGATACAATACATAGATACAGTAGAATACATAATACAATACATAGATGCAATAGAATACATAATGCAATACATAGATACAATAGAATACATGATACAATACATACATACAATAGAATACATAATACAATACATAGATACAATAGAATACATGACACAATACATAGATACAATAGAATACATGATACAATACATAGATACAATAGAATACATAATACAATACATAATTCAATAGAATACATAATACAATACATAGATGCATTAGAATACCTAATACAATACATAGATACAATAGAATACATAATACAATACATAGATTAAATAGAATACATGATACAATACATAGATATAATAGAATACATGATACAATACATAGATACAATAGAATACATAATACAATACATAGATTCGATAGAATACATGATACAATACATAGATACAATAGAATACATGATACAATACATAGATACAGTAGAATACATAATACAATACATAGATGCAATAGAATACATAATGCAATACATAGATACAATAGAATACATGATACAATACATAGATACAATAGAATACATGATACAATACATAGATACAGTAGAATACATAATACAATACATAGATGCAATAGAATACATAATGCAATACATAGATTCAATAGAATACATGATACAATACATAGATGCAATAGAATACATGATATAATACATAGATACAGTAGAATACATAATACAATACATAGATACAATAGAATACATTATACAATAGAAAATACATTTTTTGAGGTATTTTTTATCATTTTGTGACATATTTTACTTTTTATTTCTCTTATTTTTTCGTAGCTGATCAGTTCCTTAATATGAATTTAAAATAAAAATGTAACGTCACACAAGTTTTAAAAGTCAAGCTCTCAAAACTTTCTTTTTCCTTTCAATTTTTCTAAAAATATTTTATCATGTTTATACAATTTGAAAATAAAAGCCAGGCGGGAATGCCTCTAATACGCAGTGGGAGTTACAGAGAGTGATGGTGAGAGAAAAGACTGTATAGAGGGTACTGAGGAAAGAATAAAAGCTGAACTGGGTTCAAGAAGATATTTACATTCAATATACGTTCAGGACTTAAACGATTATGTCTATCCCCGGATTACTTTTATTATCTGTGAACTGCCATTACTGAATAAGAAAGAAATGATATCTCTTTGACTTCTGCACCTTTTTTAATGAGTATCGTTTTTTTTTCCATAGACTGGCTGCCACCGAAGGCGAGAGAAGCCATTTTTGTTTTTTACTTAACCTATATCTGGCAGGAAAGCGATGAATTCATCCCTTTCCAAGAGTTCTCGAGCGAAATAAATGCAACTAACTGCATTATAAACCCTTTCCTTTCTTATAAAATGCGTAACCGAAGTAATTAAACGTTGAATTCCTTTATTTTGAGATATAAAAATTAATTTATTTACTTTTAAATAAATATTTTCAAACAAATACCGTTACAATTTGTAATCTGAACACGAAAGTCCCCCGTAACTAACAGGTAACATAATGTCATTACAAGGGAAAAGAAGTCCTGTACTACCAGCATACAATCATACAATTGATATTAATGCAACTTTAGTACTGCCGTGTTAGCAAGTGCATAAGACTAACTGTGACGTCATTGCATAGAGAAGACACAAGCAATATTGTCTCGGAAATAAATATTTAAAATTAAATAAAAATAAAAATACAGCAGCTAAAACATATTCCCGCACAAAAATCAGTTTTATATAAATTAAAGTTATCATCTGAGTGGTTACAATAAAAGCCCTCGCAGACGAAAATGCCGGCCTAAAAGAATTATTACAGCAAAAGCAAATTTAAATCACCAAATGGAACAAGAAAATGTCCGTTTTCAAGTGTAGTTTTCATGCGAAGAACATTAATGCTTCTGCGGCACAGAGTTAACTCCCCTTATGAGATTGCGGCGGTGGGGGGGATGTTTTTGGTTGTTTTTAATCTAAAAGTTGTTGTTTTTTGCTTCCTGAGAAAATGGTTAGTGAGTGTAGCTTCAAGCAGCGAGCATTTGGCATCAGACGGAAGATTCGATGGAATTAAAGGAAGATAAGTATTAAGAAGAAATTTCTATTTTTTTTAATCCTTCTTTTGTTTTTCTTTCTTTTTCTTCCTTTTTCTTTTTTTATTTTTTCTTAGTTCATTTCTTTTTCTTTTTTATTTTCTTTACCAGATTTTCGTAAAATATATTTTGTTTTTATTTTTAGCTTTTCTTCTTTTTTTTCATTTTTACTTATTTATCTCTTTTCTGTTTCTCTATTGATTTTATTCTATATTCTCAGTTTGTCTTTATTTTTCTTTCTCTCTTTCTTTCTTTCTCTTTCTCTCTCACCTATTTAAACATAGTTCAAAGCTTCTTCGTTCCTTTCTTTCCTTCCTCTTTTTATTATATCTAATAAACAATTCTTCATTTTCTTTTTTTCTTTCATTCTTTCTTTCTTTCTTTCTTTCTTTTTTACACTCATTCATTGTTTCTCCCACTCTCTCTTTCTCCTTTTTATTTAAATATTTCAAAGCTTCTTCATTCTATTCTTTAACTTCCACTCTTTATTATAGCGAATAAACAATTAATTCTTTCCTTCTTTCTTTCCTTCTTTCTTTGTTTTTCTGTTCGAATAGCATAGCCATTTATTCGTTCATTCTTTCATCATTCTTCTACTCTTCCTTCCTCTTTATCTTCCCTCTCTCTCTCTCACTCTCTCTCTTATTTCCTTACTTTCTTCCTTCTTCTTCATCCCTCCTCTTTATGCTCCCACTACATCCTTGCTGTATATATTTTCTCTCTTAATCCATTTCTTTCTTCCACGTCATCCTTTCTCTTCATCCTTCTTCTTCATCCTTTCTCTCTTTTTTCTTCTTCCTTCCTCATCTCTTCCTTCCTCCTTCTTTATCCTTCACCCTTTTCTCTCTTTCTTCCTTTCTTCTTCCTTCCTCTTCATACTTCTATTCCTCATCCATCCTTCTTCGGTCTTGCAATTTGAAGGATTCTGTGTAAAGGATTTTTTATTAATTCAATGATTGATAGATTTGCACAAGAATTATACATGTTCGCTGAAATATTGCGATTGGAGAGAACAAGAAATAGCTTTTCCTTCCTAAACAACTTCTCTGTGTGTGTGTGTGTGTGTGTGTGTGTGTGTGTGTGTGTGTGTGTGTGTGTGTGTGTGTGTGTGTCTGTCTGTGTATCTGTCTCTCTGTCGCTGTCTCTTTTTTGTTTATGTGTCTGTGATTGTATCTGAGTGCGTGTTTCTGTGTGTGTGTCTGTCTGTCTCTATCTGTGTGTGTGTCTGTCGCTCTATCTGTGTGTGTGTGTGTGTATCTGTACGTGTTTCTGTGTGTGTGTGTCTTTGTGTGTGTGTCTGTCTCTGTATCTGGGTGTGTGTCTGTGTATCTGTGTGTGTCTGTTGGTCTATCTGTCTCTGTGTCTGTGTGTCTGCATCTGTGTGTCTGCATCTCTGTGTGTTTTTTTCTGTATCTGTGAGTGTCTCTATGTCTGTGTATCTCTGTGTGTGTCTGTCTCTCTATCTGTTTCTGTGTCTGTGTGTGTGTGCGTGTGTGTCTGTATATCTGTCTATCTCTTTATCTGTTTCTGTGTATGTGTCTGTGTGTGTATTTGTGTGCGTGTCTCTATTTGTATGTCTGTGTGTTTATGTGTGTATCCGTGTGCGTGTGTTTGTTTCTGTATCTGTGTGTGTATGTGTGTGTATCTATGTGTGTGTGTTTGTGTATCTGTGTGTATGTGACTCTCTCTATCTGTGTGTGTGTGTGTGTGTGTGTGTGTGTGTGTGTGTGTGTGTGTGTGTGTGTGTGTGATAAATAAGATAACAAGCCTCGCAGGGTCAACATTCAGACCCTCGTTTGTTTATGACTTTATTTACTCTTAATCCAGGATCAAATACGATGAAAGTAAATAAAGTTTTATTAGACAAAAGTCACAACCAAGGAAGAGTTTTAATGTTAGGCTTTTAAAATTAAAATACCCATGAAAGAGATTTCATAATTTTATTCAAACATCTCTCTCTCTCTCTCTCTCTCTCTCTCTCTCTCTCTCTCTCTCTTCGTTCTCTTTTCTCTCTCTCTATCTCTCTCTCTAGCTATCTCTCTCTCTCTTTCTCTCTCTCTATCTCTCTATATATATATATATATTTGGTTGAATTGATGTGAGTTTTATGACCCTGAGTTTCACGCTTTTGCGATCGTCAGAGTGACGATCGCTAAAGCGTGAAACCCAGGGTCACAAACACACAACAATCCAACCAAAGATGTTCGCTCTATCTCTGATATTGAGCGCTTTCTAATAAGTAACGCGCATATAATATATAAATAATTATATATATAATATATTACACATATATATGTATATATTTATATTTATATCCACACACTTTTCACACACAGACACACACACATACATACATACATACATACATACATACATACATATATATATATATATATATATATATATATATATATATATACATATATATATATATATATATGGGAATGGGTAGGATAAAAAATATACATACATGATTGCACATAGACTTGCACGCATTTCTAAATATATTTCTTCCAGATGTTAAAAATACAGTGCTCAATGTTAACAGAGCTATATATATATATATATATATATATTGAACAATAAAAAATTAAAAATTAAAATCTTTAGACACACTGGATTGTAGATTAATATTCTTTCGTTTTTTTTATTATTATTCCATTTAGATTCCTCAATATATATATATATATATATATATATATATATATATATATATATATATATATATATATTAGTAAATATACATAATATCGAACGTCGATAACACTACTCGGAGTTTCATACAGGTGTGGCTTCTGACCTTTATCGCGTTCTCGTAATGATGATTCAAAATTGGGGGTACAAAATTGTCTATTGAAAATATAGATCCAAATCTAAATTCAAATCTCAAATATATTTTTTTTATTTTTTATAATATTTAATTCTCCGACTTTCAAAGTTATGAATTTGAACGAATTAAATTTGAAACAAAAAAAGTTTACACACCCAATTTTAAATCATCATCACGAGAAGGCGAGAGATAACGATCAGAATCCACACCTGAAAATTGCATTTAACTGAATGAAACTCTGAGTAGTGTTATCGACGTTGGATGTTATGTATATTCACTGTGTGTGTGTGTGTGTGTGTGTGTGTGTGTGTGTGTGTGTGTGTGTGTGTTGAAGTATAGACCCATTTCCTTTATGGTGGATGATAGGTCATCGACATCGACGTTTTCAAACAGGTATTTCATGCGACTCATACTATAAAGTCGCAAGAGGGAGAAAGCCATACAGGATCAGGAGGAAGGGGGCTTCACCTATATAGTACTTAGATGTGCAGGTGGCGCAACGGTTAGAAGCTCGGAAAGAGACATTAAATGGCCAAATTCGTAGTATTCACATTCTTACAAATAATTTCTGGAAACCCTATGAATACATCGCTTCTCTCGAGCTACGGTGTTCAATAAACTCTCTACTCGTGGTTGGCATGACAATTCTGAATTTAATGCTCCCTGTGGTCCTGGCGGGGTACATACTTGATCTGTAAGTAAGGTCTACTCAGCATATTTGCAGTATGAACCACAAGTTGGCTATGCGGGTAGGGATAGAATAGATGGGTATGCTTTGAAACGTGAAGCCGTGCTGAAGATGAGAAATCACACTGATTTGCAGATTGCCTTCACATCGAAACAACTCTAATGCCGCACATTTTGGCCAATCCTTTTGTCAGCGTATAAGAGAGTGTATGATTTTTGTATGAACGATAACTTATTAAGGATAAAGTTTTCTTTAGTCACAGTTTCCATTTTCCTATAGTGTGCCTCATTTTGAAGTACCTATTTGTGTGTTGAATTCCCCAGCGCTGTTACAATGTCTTTTGGAAAAGTTTATAAATTCTGGTCATCGATAACCTATAAGAGGGGACGATATCCAGAGCTGAACTGATTGTTCGGTCATTTCTACTGTTTCCTTTAATTCCAGTTAAGCGAAGAATCCAACAAAGGGAAATATTTCTTTTTTATTTGCACATGGAGTATGTGTCTGCAAATGTCTGTGTGTCTCACGTGTTAAACAAATATGAGTTCCATAAAAATATCTTGCGACTTTACTTTCATCTTTTCTCTTAAAAATTTAAACTGGCGTTTTCTTTTTGCAATAAATTGTAATCTTTTTGTTCGTATTTTTTTTTTTTTTTTTTTTCAAATGAAAACTTGAAAATTTTCCAACATATTTCAGTGTAATTTGCTCTTTTTATAATCATATTTTTAGTTTAGATATATGGAGAAAAAAAATTCACACTGGCGCCAGTGGGATAAGAAAGAAAGAAAGAAAGAAAGAAAGAAAGAAAGAAAGAAAGAAAGAAAAGTGAAATAAATAAAGAAAGAAAGATAACGAAGAAAGAAAGAAAAAATGAAAGAAAGAAAGAAAAAGAATGAAAAAAGAAAAAGAATGAAAGAAAGAAAGATAAAGAAGAAAGAAAAGAAACAAAGAAAGAAAGAAAAAGAAAGAGAGAAAGGAAGAAAGGAAAATGAAAGAAAGAAAGAAAAAAGAAAGAAAGAAAGAAAAGAAATATCTAAATGAACAACTTATATCCTCAAGTTTAAACTGACGTATACCTTTTCCATATATTGTGACTATTTTGTTTCAAGTTGTTGATTTCAGATGAAATTTCATGAATGTCTGAAATTTCACTTTCCAAAAATTATAGTTTAGATATATAGAAAAAAGGTGTGGCTTTAACAAGACACACGCATACTGATCGAAAATCGAGAAAATTGCATTAAAAAGCAAACACGACCAAGATTTTATTGTTAACACATAAAGTGATTAATAAAACTATTCTTCTATCTTTATGTAAGCCAACATATACTCATTTTTGTAGGTTACATCTTTCAAGAATTCGAACTTAGATAGATAGATAGATAGATAGATAGATAGATAGATAGATAGATAGATAGATAGCAAAAGAATATGGTTCAACGTTTTTAAAATTTTAAATTCGTTAGCCTAGGGGGTGGGGCACATGTGAATGGTGGACTATTTGTCTTTGGTCTACAAAACTACACCCCACCCCTAAAAACAAGTGACGCGCCCACTTAGTGGCTAGATGTATATTAAAGCGAAATGGAGAGAACTAAAAAGATTGTGGTACACAATTTCTGAGCTTTGAAAACTACCATTCAAAATCATTTTACCTAAGCTTCATCATTGGCGCTAGAGGGAAACATATGACAGACGCAAGACATTTTTTTTTTACCAATAGCACCATGGAACTTGAAAATTTCACTATCTTACTTTTAGAGATATTACACTATGAAAAATCAAATTGTTTACCCGGAATAATTCCTCTGTCTTATTATCGAATATCGATCGGTTACCGGAATAAATGTGTGTAAGTGTATTGACTTAGTGTTATTGGAAATGTGTGCTTTGTGAAGTGTTGTCTTGTTTCTATGTATTTTTTTAAATCATTGTGATGATACTCACTAAAAGCTTTTAGTGAAAAACAAACAATTTTGGTTTTTAGCGATGAAACCGATAACAGACGTCGAAATGGAAAGATGGTAAGGGTAGCTGTTAAATGGAAATATACAAACACAGATGCATAAAGAGACACAAAATGAGATAGATCCGAACAGAATTTAGATAGATAATGAAAAACCTGAGATAGATAGATATATAGATCCAAAACTGGATGAGATAGATAAATTTTGAAAGATGCGCTTGCTCTCTGTCTATCTCTCTTCGTCTCTTTTCTAATTTCCTAAAATTGAAGAGTTCGCTGAAAGGAAAAGAACCTATTTCCCGTTAATTGAAGCTCTCCATAAAAAGAACAGCCACTTAATAAACTCGCCACAAAATTACCTTAGGGAAACGCTTAAAGGCCTGAAAGAAGTGCACTGGATCCTTTCTTTGTATTCATCGATGAGAAATACCATTGGGGAAAATCTTTTACAAACAAAAATGGCGGTGATAAATAAATGGGCGGAGAAAAAGGGACAAGTCAGGGTGTGACTGTTCCAGGCAGTAACTTTTTTTTAATTTTTTCTCCTGTATTATCATTAAATAGGCTGATATAGATAGATAGATAGATAGATATCAGTTATATATATATATATATATATATATATATATATATATATATATATATATATATATATATATATATATATATATATATATATATATATATATATATATATATATATATAGCAATTGAATTAAAATTGAAAAAAAATCTTGTCTATATATATATATATATATATGTATATGTATCAATATATATATATATATATATATATATATATATATATATAGGCAACTGAATTAAAAATTGAAAAACAATCTTGTTGCACGTTTCGTTCTTCGAAAGGTCTTCTTCATATATCATAATATTTTTTAATTATAATATCATATATATATATATATATATATATATATATATATATATATATATATATAGGGGAAAAATATAACAAATATCAAATTCTCCTATATATATATATATATATATATATATATATATAAGGCAGGATGGTGTGTGTGTGTGTGTGTGTGTGTGTGTGTGTGTGTGTGTGTGTGTGTGTGTGTGTGTGTGTGTAATGCACGGCCGCAATTTTCGACGTATTTGCACCAAAATTTACATGCACATGTTCCAAGTTAGCGGGAAGGCCAAGACCGACTTTGTATTTCCCAACTCCCATCGATAATGGAAATAATCGATTTTTTATGCTTCTAAGGCAGTTTTCATGTAGTTTGCGCCCATTTTGTACCGTCCAGAGTGAGAGCCAATAGCTGGCTGCCACGAATAGGCAGGAAGATTCTACTGGCCAGCGTGAGAGCCAACAGCTGAGTGACACGAATGTTAACTAGCATGCTAGCTTGCAAAAAAAATCGATAGCTGTATTCTTCACAAGTGGCAAAAATTTAAATCTGCATGGCACTTTACTCCAATTGGCTCATTCGCTTGCTTAAACTCAACGTTGATTCTGATTCCGCAGAACTGGGTTGGGTGTGAAAAAGTTTTTTTGTTAACATCCTTTTTTCATTC